TTAGCCCCCCTTAAAAAATTTAACATTTTTCGATCGTCTACAGAACAAACCACTGTTGTCCAATAACTACCCTAATTACCCTAGTGAAGCCTTTAAATGTCACTTTAAGCTGAATACTAGTGTCTTAAAAAATATCTAGTCAAATATTATCACAGTCATCATGGCAGATAGAAGATAAAAGGAATCAGTTTACAGAAATTAGGTTATTAAAGCTATTATGTGTGAAAGTGAGTGATGCGCGTCTTCAGTGCAGCTTTGAGTGATGTTTCTCCTCTTGACCTTCATCCAGATGTTCATCCGCTCATCAATAATGCATCATTTTCAGCAGGCGTTGTGTATGATGGGCTGGAAATTATTGCATCATCATTTCTCCAGCAATAATAGTCTGGCGTTCGGTATCCACAGCATTTGGGGTCATCGGTTGATCGTCGCTCATAAAGTATTTACTGCAGTCTTTTTAGGGCACCATATCCACTTTACAAGCCTATCGTTTTAAGCTGATGTGTTATTTTTATGAAGCCATTGGGAATCAGTGTAAGAACAGATATTGAACTGTGTTTTTAGAATTTATATTTAAAATGTGTTTTTATAATGTCATAAAAATTATTCAGATATTTAAATTTATTTTAATCATGACTGAACTTTGCTTCGTTTCTCATGAATAGGATTTGCACAGCTCCATCTAGAAATATATAGAAATATAAGGTATATTGCTTCCACTTATATATTTTAGTAACATATACATAAATGTATTGATTAAAAAATATTCCAATACTTTCAATTAGCATGTTTTGAAAAAAACATTTGATTTACAACCCATTTTCAATCATTTTAATTGATCGAAGGTTAGATTTCAGTGAATATTTTAAATGAAAGATAACAAAATTAATTATATTGATTTATTTTCACAGCCTTCCTTCCTTATTTTTTACCAAGAGTGTCAGTATGTTTGGGTCAGTGGGGCTGTTAGTATGTATGTAAAAGTGCATTTTTAAACTCTGTGATGGAGTTAAGACACCTGTGTGTGTTGAAATGTGTGCAGATGAAGCAACAAGCCATTAGTATGTAGAAGCTGCCGAGAGGCGAGCAGCTCATCTGCATAGAGGATTACTGTGGCTTTATGGCTCAGACTGCTGGACACGCAGGACAATCACAACCTGTGCCCGAAAGACACCTCTGGGGCTCGATGGGCTCTAGCACACACACAAACACACACACACACACACACACACACACACACACACACACACACACACACACACACACACACACACACATACACACATACACACACATACACACATTCTAGAAGTCTAAATTCATTCTAGAATTGTGTTCATTTTCTTTAAATTGGAAATATATACAATAAATACTTTAATTACTATAAAAAATAATTATTCATGGTAAATATCGAACAATGCGATACGGAATGTTTGATCCTGTTATGAACTGTCATTAAATTTATTTTTAAACTTTTTTGTTATTCTTAACAATAACATAGTTGACATTAACTGAGTTGAAAATAATAGAGTTGACAAGATGTTTTGAGTTGACGATAACAGAGTAGAAAGTAACAGAGTTGCCAGTACAGGGTTGACAATAACAGAGTTGACCATAACAGAGTTGATGGTAACAGAGATGACGGTAACAGAGTTGAGGATAACAAAGTTGACAGTACAGAGTTACCAGACAGTAACAGAGTTGACAGTAACAGAGTTGACAGTACAGGGTTAACAGACAGTAACAGAGTTGACAATACAGGGTTAACAGACAGTAACAGAGTTGACAGTAACAGAGTTGACAGTACAGGGTTAACAGACAGTAACAGAGTTGACAATACAGGGTTAACAGACAGTAACAGAGTTGACAGTAACAGAGTTGACAGTACAGGGTTAACAGACAGTAACAGAGTTGACAATACAGGGTTAACAGACAGTAACAGAGTTGACAGTAACAGAGTTGACAGTACAGGGTTAACAGACAGTAACAGAGTTGACAGTAACAGAGTTGACAGTACAGGGTTAACAGACAGTAACAGAGTTGACAATACAGGGTTAACAGAGACAGTAACAGAGTTGACAGTAACAGAGTTGACAGTACAGGGTTAACAGACAGTAACAGTTGACAATACAGGGTTAACAGACAGTAACAGAGTTGACAATACAGGGTTAACAGACAGTAACAGAGTTGACAGTAACAGAGTTGACAATACAGGGTTAACAGAACAGAGTTGACAGTAACAGAGTTGACAGTAACAGAGTTGACAGAACAGAGTTGACAGTAACAGAGTTGACAGTAACAGAGCTGACTGTGTCAGAGTTGATGATGATAGAGTTGATGGTAACAGGGTAGATGATCATACAGTTGACAGAGTTGATTAATGGAGTTGACAGTAAAACAGTTGACACACTTGGTAATTTATCTTTATTGTTATAGTATCATCATCATCATCATCATCATCATCATCATGCTCATCGCTTCTATTACTATCAGTAGTCATGTGTTGTTATTCAGTAAACATGTTTTATTATATTGTTTATATATTAGAGTTATAGTTGATGCATGTGTGTGATGTGTAGTATATAAAGCTCTGTGTGTTGCTGTGATGTTGTGAGAGCTGTGAGGTCTTCTGTCGTGTACAGCCTCAGGTGGATTATTGCTTTTATAAACTAACAGCTCAAACATATAATCTTGACAAGCCGTTTTGTAGGTTTCAGTTTTGGGCTGTTTAAGT